AAAGTACATTTTAAAATCCTCTGTGAATGTTTTAAATCTGAAAGTTTTTTAAAAAACTAGCTGTGCCCAGTGGTACATACCTGTAATTCCAGTGACCTGGGAAACTAAGGCAGGAAGATCCCTATTTGGAGACCATCCTGGACAATCTAGGGAGACTCTGTCTCAAAATAAAATAAGTAGGGCCAGGAGCTGGGCATGGTGGCATATGTCTGTATTCCCAGCAGCTCAGGAAGCTGAGGCAGGAGAATTGTGGGTTCAACCAGCCTCAGCAACTTAGCAAGGTCTTAAGCAACTCAATAAGAGCTGTCTCTAAATAAAATACAAAAAAGTCTGGGGATGTGGTCCAGTGGTTGAGTGTCCCTAAGTTCAATCCCTGTTACCAATAAATAAATAAATAAATAGAGCTGAGGATGTAGTTCAATACCCAGTACTACAAGTAATAATAATGATAGTAATAATAAAAAAATAATTAAAATAAAAAAACTAAAGTGGAAGGAGTGTACCAATTGATTACTTAGCCTATTTCTATATCTTAGGCAACTTAGATATATTTGTTGGATAAAAAATACAGCCAAGTTGGGAAGTAGAATAAGCCGAGCAATCACCAATATGATTTATGAATTTATTGATTCTATATTATGAAATTTGAAAGAGAGGAAAATATACAGGCAATTGATTATTGTGGATTTTGCCTTATGACTAAAAAAATACATTTCTTGTAATAGTATATTTACAGTTTAACTTATTATTAGTGTTTCCAATGTAGAGTAATGTAAGTTAAGAAAAATCAACATTACCATGCTGAAAGCAAATAAAACAGACTTATTTAGTTACCATTGTCTGAGGAATTTGTTGATCCTTACTTCTGACCACAGATAATCTTAGGTTAACATTTGAAATACATGAATCTTGGATTTTTATGCAGGCAGACATTATTTATTTACTTATTTAATTTTGAAATGGGATCTTGCTGTTGCCCAGACTGGTCTCCAACTCTTGGGCTCGAGTCATCTTCCTGCCTCAATCTCTCAACTAGCTGGGACAATGGGAGTGCCATTGCACCCTGCCTAGACAAACATTTTAATGTTTACCTTTAAATGAATCCAAATGCAAAGGGAAAAGTTTTTATACACGTTTGTTTAATGTAAAAATGGGCACCATTATTATGTTAGGAGAAAATCAGATTCATTTTCCTTTAATAGTAGTTGTTCAACATATAACTGCCACAAAATGTAAAATTTGGGCACAGAATATGGAATATCTGAACAGTATAAAACTTGGTTGCATAATTTATAGGAACTGGCTGGGATAAATTAAAATAATATGGTCTATGAAGGCCTGGATGAACATCTGGCACTGAGAAAAGTGCCACCAATCCTACAGGGGGTCAGCCATGCAAGAATAAGAACCTCCCATCTTCCTCAGGCAGATCCTGTTGTATTGCAATTGTGTGGTAGGCATTGAATTCCCAAGAGTTACCAATAATTTCTAAAAGTAATACAAATATGGCACATATGCTAGTTATTCTACCACAAACCTCATGTTTATTAATTGAAAGTACAAATACTGCTACTCTTTTGCATTGGCATTGAAATTCAAGAGTCAGGAGATAAAATAACTATTTTTGTTCAAAAGCTCATGTGTGCAAAGTGGAATGTTCCTTTATGGCAGATGACGAAAAGTAACCGTCTTTGGGCCAAAGAAACAAACTCAATAGATTTCATTAGGCTTTCACTATACTAGTCCATTGTGGAGATGGGGGTGGGTACCGGGAATTGAACTCAGGGGCACTTGACCACTTAGCCATATCCCCAGCCTCTCCAGCCCTATTTTGCATTTCATTTAGAGACGGTTTCAATGAATTGCTTACCACCTCGCTTTTGCTGAGGCTGGCTCTGAACTCTTGATGCTCCTGTCTAAGCCTACTGAATCACTGGGATTACAGGCATGCACCTGTAGTCCATTTTAAAAGCTGAAAAAGTTGCCAATATTTAATGTAATCAAAGTATAAATTTTTATTATGTCATGAGAATCTCACCCATTTGGGTTACCTACCTAGGCTCCTTCAGACCTCAGATAATCTCAGGTTAACATTTTGAAATACATGAATAGTTGAATTGTTGATCCCTGTTTTATGGAAAGAAAAGAATTATAATCCTTTCCAGAAGAACATAGTGGAATTTTGGAAGATTATGTTTGTTTTGATATCCCTTAAATTCAGGTTTCATTGATACCACTATCCTTATCAGATACAGAAGCCATTATTAATCATCTGTAAACTAATGGCTTTAATTAGAGGGATAATAAAAATATACAGGCTCACTGGCTTAAATATATCAACATGGATGTGATCATTACTTCTAAGTTTTTAGAATGTTTGAAGAACAAAAGTAGGACTTGAATGGGATAGGCTGTCCCACAGTTGTATCATCTGTTACATTTCAAAAGCAAAAATTTAATACCATCTTGAATTGAATTTCCCAAGCATTGAGAAAAATTGTGTTAAAATTCAGCAGAGTTGAACTCATGTCAGAAGAGATATATGATAGCACTAAAAAAAAGTAACACATTTTGATTAATAACAACATTATATAACAGATCAGTTAGTAATAAAATACTTTAAAATTATAAAAGCCCAACTATTTCTACAAGATTTAATTACATACTTCTCTCTCCCAAATATGTAGCAGAGAGCAGGGAGGAATTGAGAGACCTGACCATGTAAACTTGCAAGGAGTATTTATGGATACATTTAGAATATATGCTACTTGAAGATACATTGCTTGTCAAGAAGTATGTGTGTAACCTGTGAATTCCAGAAACTCATGAGGCTGAGGCAAGAGAATCTCAAGTTTGAGAACTTCTAGGCAATTTAGTGAAATCCTGTGTCAAAATAAAATTTTAAAAAGGATTCAGTATATAGCTTAGTGGTAGATCACTCCTGGGTTCAATCCATATTAACCACCCCCCAAATCTGTGCAACACATAAATTCTAAAGTTATTAATTTAGCTGTGAGACTGCCCACTTTTCAGCTAGATTTGCTTTTCCTGCCCTGTTGAGCTGTTTTGAATCTGAATAGGTATATAGGTGGTATGCCACATGTATAGAATTTGTCAATAACGTGTACAAAAGGAGGAAGAAAATTATAACACCCCAACTGAGGCCATAAGGTCAATAAGAAGCATTATTAGCACAAGACTTCCTTTGTTCTGCTGCAATGCTGATGGATACGTGGGACTCCATACAGTAACTGTAGACCCAGTTCCTGAAGAAGACTCCCAAGTTGCATCAAGTTGCCTGAGGCCTTTGAACATACTATCCCCTCTGCATGAGAGACTTACTACTTCTCTCCTTTCTCTGACCACTTCCTGTTACCTTTCAGATCTCACTTTATATCACTAAATTTTGTTACCTCTTGAGAACTCATCTTGACCTCCCAGAGGGGGTTAGGTACACCTTGTTTGTAATCCCATAATCCCTTTGCACTTTCTCTTGAGAAACATTGATCACACCCAATTGTGACCTCTATTCCTCATAGCCTGGAGCTCCATGAGGCCAAGTGCCAGGACTGCCTTGCTCACCATTGTATTCTTTTCATGGAGGAAGTTACTCAGAAGATATTGGTTGGATGGTTAGATGAACTACAGATGAACCTGTCTGCTTCTCACTTACTAACTTACTTTTGGGTGACTTATCTGTGGGACTCTCTTGTGTTTATAGGTTAGAATATGGCCAACATTGGTCCTGATGCCTAATAGAGCTTCCCAAGGAGCAGAAATTCTTAGAACATGTGATTTAGAAGATTTTTATACAGCCTAGTACATCTCAAAAATCTGACTGGCAAGAATGATATGGGAAAGGAGGGTGTGTGTGTGTGTGTGTGTGTGTGTGTGTGAGAGAGAGAGAGAGAGAGAGAGAGAGAGAGAGAGAATGAGGGAGGGAGGAAGAGAGAGAGAGATAGAAAGAAGGGGGAGGAAAGTTGAAAATATTTCTCCAAGACAAAGTATGGGGGTATAGCATCTTGACCAAAGATCAAGAGTCAGAGACTAAAGCCCAGAGAATCTGAACAGATGAAGGGAATATTCCACAATGGAACCATGAAGCTGCCAGAGCCCTTGTGAGTGTAGACATTGAACTGAAGTCTGAGAAGGTGTGCAGAATTAGTAGGGGTCAATAAATGTTCATTTCAATTGGGTTCCTTTCTCTTCCTGATCTTGGGCAGCTTCTTTCATCTAACAAAGCCATGGCTGATTTGGGTAAGACATGGAGAGAGTCTTACTCAAGGCAGAGATCAGCAGATGTCAATGAAGGATATTCTACAGGCAGATATCCTGGGATGATACAAGACCTAAGGGTGAGAAAGACACCAAGAACTGACAAAAGAAGTCATTATTGCATTTCCAGCTTGGCAACTATCCAGCTGGTAGTCTGGATCTCTACCATTCCTGTTCATAAGGAGAGGTAGTCTCTCTACTAGGAAATATTCTCTAAAAAACTTTTGGAGACTTTCTATGATCCTCAGCATAAAATCAAGTTCTTTATTATGGCTTGCAAAGTCTGTCATCCCATCCTGATTGTTTATCAAAAGTAACCAAGCAAGTACAGTGAAGGAATAAATGGCCTCAACCCAGAGTGGACTGATTTTCTGGAATCAGAAGAATCTAGAAAGGCAGAATAACTCCAGACTCATTTTTCAAAACAAACGTGTAATTTCTACCTGGTAAAACAGGAGCAACTGCTCTCCAAGGATAAGGTGGCAAAAGCTTCCTTCCTTTGTCCCCGGCATCTGAATCTCCCCTTTCTGCATCTTCTGGGTTTGGGCTCCCATTTCTTCCCATGTCTGAGTTGGGATAGCTGAGCTGTTTCTGGGGTTGAACAACTCTTGGCCCCTGACCCAGGGGGTATTTATTAATCAGCTATGAGTAGGACTGACTCCAGGAGTGGGCCCACCGTCCCTGACATGGGTGATACCCTGAGGTTCAGCAGACAGGAAAGTTACCTCCTCGGCCCTCACTGGCAGCCGGCTTCACTTGGATCGGACGATTCATCTGAAAGACATTGGACCAACATACCCATTCAGCATAACTGCCTGGTCTTGGGACCCCCATCCTCCCCTGGACTCCTCAAGATCTGAGCCCTAGTGCCCTTGAACTCTACACTCCTCCACTCCTACTAGGATTGTTGATTTTCTCCAAGATCCCTTCCTTAAACCCAGGAATTTAGAAAGTGCTGAGACCTGAAGGGATGAGGGGGAGGAAACTCAGTGGCATGCACCAGGTAGAATGGGGCAACTAAAAAGATTCTTCTGCTTTGCTTTCTGGGCTGGGCTGTGTAAGGCCTGTCTCCATGGCTCCTAGACTCATCTAAGACTTTGAGTAAGAGGAACTGGGTGAGAGGGTTTAATTGAAACTGTACATTTGTGTTTTACATATAAAACTGAGAAAATAATGTTAAATATTATTTAGATTAAACAAGATGGGGGTTATATTTAGTGCTATCTATGCCCAGCCCTGCCATCTCATGATTGTCTGACTTTAAGTAAGCTTCTCTTTTTCTCAAATTCAATTCATCAAATAAGGAAAACTCTCCCAAACTTCTGCATCACCATAGTCTCTGAATTCACTTCTCCATCCCCTGCCTGGGTTTCTCTTCTCCTGAAGATGCTGGCATTCACTAAGTCACCCTCCTCGGCTCTTGCCTGTCTCACTCTTCCTAATTTTCCTGGATAGTCTCATCCACACAGCCTCAGCTACTATATCCATACAAGGATGACTCAGAGCTCCGCATCAACAGCCCACATTTTCTCCTGATCCTCAGACCCATTTTCCCAGCTGCTTAATATCCTGCTGGACATCCTGACTAGAAAGGCCCACTGGCATTTTCCACTCGACATACCCAAACCAGAGCTCATCTTTTCACCCAAACCTGATCCTCCATCCAAATCACCCAAGCTCTAAACCTGGAAAGCAGCTTGACTTCTCCATCCATTGCTTTCCCCCCTCCAACCCGTTTTACCTTTTAATTCAAGGGTTCCCTGATTATATAGGTGGTTAAGAATCACCTGGGAACCATATTAGACTCTTAATCTTAGTTAGGGGACTGTATACTCTGAAAAAACTCTTAGGTGATTTTAATATATACCCCCCACATTCCCATCCCCCAACCACCCTAAGTGAATTCATGATTGAATCCCCATCTCACCTTCCTCTCATGGGTGTTGTGGGGATCACATGAGGTAATGGGGATGCAAAAGGTCTTGGTAAACTGCCAAGAGTTGGGTGCGTGGGATGTAAGGAATTATTGTTGGGGGGAAGACAGCTGAGTGCCGGGAGGAAGAACAGCGGCCTTCCAGTTCATGGAGGAAGGGGTACTGATGCCCATCTGGCCTGAGAAGGTGATGATCTGACCCCCTCCCCTCAGGAAATGCACTGCTTCTGCACCAATCAGGGGCCACTCCATCTCCTATCAATGTGCTTGTTGCCGAGACAACAGGCAGCTTCCTGTTACCATAGCCACAAGTGCTACCCAGTAACCATGGTAACGCCCTGGCAGTCACAGTTGAGCAATTTCCTTTGGATCAAATTTGGAGGTAGAAGGGTGGGGAGGACTTATTTAAAAAAAAAAAAAAAAGGAAAGGAAAGGAAAACAGGCCAAGCCTGAACCAGTGCAATCCCCCTCCCACCCAGGGCTCTGACACACCCACCCGCTGGTGGTGTAGCACCTGCAGTGTACCAGGCTGTGGGTGGGGGCCGAAACACCGACAGGACTCAGGTTGCAGTCTAGAGGGGATGACAGATCAATCCAAGCAGATCAGGGCGAGCTGGACAGGTCTGGACTGTCCTGGAACAGGGACCAGGAGGACAGGACCCGTCCCTGAGCATGGCCACCTGTGATTGTGGAGGAGAGACCAAGAGACAGAGCCATGGAAAGCAGAGACACAGGGAGAGATGAAGAAATACAGAAAGACAGAAATTATGAAAGAAAGTAGGAGACAGACCTAGAAAGGGGCAAGGAAAGAGAATAACTGGTGAACATGGGAAGGAAATGAAGGAATGAGGGGGCAGGAAGAGGATGCAGGAGGGGCAGGGGAGAAGCTTGGTAAGGAGGGTAGAAGCCTGGGGTGGAGGGCAGTGAGGGTGAGCAAGACCATCATTATTTTATTAGTTCTTAAATAGATCTTGAGAATTTCTCTCTGGAGCCTAGAGTGATGAGCACATGTGACAGCAGTGGTTTCCATGGCAGCTGCCTCCCAGGCTGGGTTTCCTGGGAGATGGTGCTCACTAGTGCTCTGGGGGATGCCCCTTTCCCTCCTCCCACCCACTTCACCACCCTTTGATGGAGAGTGGGCATTGAGTGGTTCATACACATTCCCTCATGGGCCAGGCAGGGTCCAGTCCTTGAGGCTAGAAGACTCTCTTCCACACTTAGGCATGCTACCAGCATGTCCTGAACTCTGTGACAAGTCCCAGGTTGGACCCTTCAGGGGAAACAATGTTGACCTAGATGAGGACCCTCTCCTCACTGGCTCATAGAGAGGAAGATAATATTTCCAGAGAACCTATCATGTGTCAGGCCCTTTTTCAAGCACTTTACATACATTGTCTCCAAATTCTTTCAACTGTACAGTAAAATAATACCATTGTCCCCATGTTGCAGATGAGAAAACTGAGGCTGAGGGACATTAAATCACTTGTCTGAGATCACATGATTGAGTAAGTAGTAGAGCTGAGATTTTCTCCCAGTTTTGTATCTGACAGGGAAGTCCAGGATTTTTATATTGTGCTTCTCAACTCCATCCTTAAGTCAGGAACACAAATAATGAGGCATAGAGGGACTAGGGCCTTGACACATTGCAAGGTGAAGAGCTGTGGACTAGGCTGACTCCAGCTGGAGAGGCTGACACAACTCAGGAAGAGCTCCTTGAGGAAGAAGTTTTTGACATGAGTCTTACAGGCCTAGGGTCACTGGCCATGTGGAGATAATTGGAGAGGTAGGTTGACAGCTGAGCATTCTAGCTGGCTGGAATATGGGCTGCAAGTCTATAGGAGCAAGGTTTCTGACATTAGCACAGACAAAGCCAGGGTAGGGCAAATTGCTTTTGAGTCGGATGTGGATTTAAATACTGGGTACATCGCTGGCAACTTCTTCAAGTTCTCTGAGCCTCAGTTTCCCCATTTGTAAAAAAGGGATCATGATCCTGTCCTTCAGGATTGTGGTGAAAATGACAATGGCTAGATATTAGTAGGTACATCAGATATGATTAGTTTTGTTTGTTCATTTATCTGCCTATTAGGAGTGTGTATGTGTGTGTGTGTGTTAATGGAAATTGAAATCCACCCAGGGGCTGGGGCAGGGCAGGCTGTGAAAAGCATATCAAAGAATTTTGATTTTGTTGTATTTCAAAGGCAATAAATATCCAGGGAGGACTTTAAGTAGGGAAATGATTTTGACAATTTTGTCTTATGGAGCATCCCATAGTTGTCACTATACAGAGAAAGACTTGGAAAGGAAGCTCGAAATAGGAAGATCAACAATACAGGTAGAAGGTGAGGGGACTTGGACCAGGGTAGAAGTAAATGGACAAATTATATAGTTATATAGTTGTTTTGGATGTGGGACAAAGGGAAATAGAAAATACTGTCTGACTCAGGTTTATGGCTCAGGAATTGGGGAAGTTGGCTGTTTGGGAGTTTGGAGGTGCAGAGAAGTCCCAAAGAGGTAAGCCCAGGAGGATGAATACATAGTAGTACTCCCCAGGGCTTTAAACCCCGGTCCCCATAGAACAATGGTTGTGGAGGAAATCCAGGATTCTGTGTGTAGCTGGAAGAGAAAAAGAATTGCCCACATGAGCTTCCTGGGCAACCCTAACCTGCCTTTCTTTCTGCCATCATCAGGGGAGGGATCTGGGAGTTAGTGAGGTAATTGGGATTCCCCTTTGAGGAAAAGAGGGCATTAGCTCCTCAGCCAAGAACTTGCTGTGTGACTTCAGATGAGCTCTTTCCCTAGCTGGACACCTATTCCCTTGAGAGTTTCTCAGGTGAAGAGCCCATGGCTTCTTCAGGTCCCTGAAGGAGAAATCAAGGCAGAGAGGAGAGAACAATCTATTCTAGGCAATGGAAGGGGGAGGTCATGGGTGGCACAGATGTGCACAAGGTCCTGGTGCTTCTGATCCAGAAATCAGAAGGGAAAACAAGACCCTACCCCCAACTCACTGCTTGGTTTCTCTAAAATTTCTGCCTTTGTGCTCCACATTGCCCACTTTAGCTCTTCTGATTTTTTTGTACCACTATCAACTATTCCTTCTCCACTCAACATTTGTACCCTCAGTGCTCCTTCTTCCCATAAAATAGAGTTTATCACAAATTCCCCAGAGAAGGGACCATTGCTGAGTCTGGGAGAAGTGCCATGAGATGCAAGAAAGAGTGGATCAAAAACCAAACACAAATTTCATCACCTTTTGCACTCCTTTCTTCCTCACCCACTCCTCTAATTCAATCTGCTATCTGGTCCTATTGGTCCTACTATCTCTAAGGATGTCTTATATAGCTTTAAAGTCCATCCTGTCCTCCACATTCCTGCCCTATTCCCAGTTCTATGCCAGCATACATCATCATTAGCCTATGCTCAAGTGACATTATCTGAAAAGGTCATCCTGCTTCCAGTGTTACTCCTTCTTCAACTCAACCTTCGCACTGTAGCTAGAGAAATCTTTTAAAAATCATTCCCTAACTCTTCCCTTCTTAAATTCACCTATTGTTCCCTATTGTAAGCCTCCTGATAAAGCCCAAGATCTTTGATTGACTGTCAAAACTCATTCCCAATATTCTCCACAATACTCTTCACAGGTAGTCTCAATCCCCTTTGCTGAACATCTTCCTGCCCATTCTCATATTATTCTCAACACTTCTTTGTCTTTTAGGTCTTTAGACCCTCAAAAATAATGAAACATGGTCATGATTCAGCTCATATAGCCTCTCCTCTGCAAAGTTGCTCTTTCCTCTCCACTCCTGATGTCTCTTTTACATGTCTAACATAAACCCTAATGAGACATGTTGAATTATTCCTGGGCTCCTTGAGAGCAAAGCCTTCCCTGAGTGATTGCATGCACATACAGTGCCTTTGTATAAATTACTAAAATCACTCCCCAATCAGGGGAATAAGTAAGAAAAATTGTTCCCCTTTTTCTGGGTGGATACAGCCTTGCAATAATAATATGTATGGTTTGGCCAATAGACTATGGCTGAATTTTAGTTTACATTTTTCCTCTCCACCCAAGTTATTTAGTGCAGAGCACAACCTGTAAAAGCAAATGTACTCCCCTACTCAGTTATGTCTACCTCTTGCACGGTGTTTGAGGAATAGGTACCCCAAAGAAGGGATACCATAGGCAGAGAGACTGATGAATAAGGGGGCACTCTTGGAATCCCAGAAAGTAGGAATGAAGTTGGCCTCACTCTCTTTGGGTTGAAGCCTAAAGTGAGACTTTAGAAGTAGCTCCAGCTTTATGGGGCAGATGCTACCCAAGATGGGGCCAAGTGTGACATATCACTAGGTTTGACAGAAGTCCTGAGTAGGGAACCAAGCTTTGATAGGTGTTGGAAGTTGGCAGTGGGAAAGTGGAGGGGAGCAAAAAGGAGGTCTCAGTTGAGCAGACCCCATGAAATCACCCTGAAGATCCAGGCTTTCTCTTTGGGGATTGACCCAGCTTTTCCTCTTTCCATGTGGAAAATTATGCCTGACTCCAGCAAAAACTCAGATTGATGCCTTATCTTTGCTTCTCCAGCAGATGGCAGCTGTGCCCAGGACCCAGTGCCTCTAGGGAGCTGGGCACTCATTTCTTTTTTAAGCTGGTGGGCCTGAATCTAGGTGACTGCTGCCAGTTGCTGCTGCCCCTGACAGGCTGGGAGGAAAGACTGATAACAGTGGACCTTGCTAGGGCTGGCCAACATAGCCATTGATTTTCACTTAGGAGAATAATTAAATATTAATTTTCACTTTGTTAAGTGGAGAGGGGAATGAATAAAGCCAAGACTGGGAGAACCAGAGGAAGCTGAGGCACACTAGAGGCCAGCAGATGGAAGGGTGTGAGAGGATGTCCCCAATTGCCATCCTCTCAATAACCCTGTCTACCACTAGGTGGACTCTTGTAACAGTACAGAAGTTACGTGAATGAGTTCTGGAATCAAACTAACTTCTCAAATCCCAGATCTTCCCATTAGTAGCTACAAGACCTTGGGCAAGTCACTTGATCTTTAAGATTCAGTTTTCTTTTATTGTGTGTGAAATGGGGATGCCAATAATAATACCTTCTTCATAGAGGATTACATGACTTAGAACATATAAACTACCATGAACACCCATATCAATAACTGTTAGTTATTAATATTTTGTTTTCTTCCCCAGCAGTTCTCCCAGTGTTTTCAGACTTCACAGCTCTTATCTCAGTTGCTCTCATCTTTATAGTGCTCTCCAGGCACCACTGACCTAGTGGAGCACTGTGGCTTCTTGATAAATTTTGTTTATTTGTTTGTTTGTTTCTACCAGGGATAGAAACCAGGGGCATTTAACCACTGAGCAACATCCCCAGTCCTTTTTTATATTTTATTTTGAAACAGGGTCTTGCTGAGTTGCTGAGGCTGGCTTTAAACTCTTGATTCTCCTGCCTCGGCCTCCTGAGCTGCTGGGATTACAGGCATGTGCCACTACGCCTATCTGTTGAGAAGATTTTTATCCAAAAGTTCATCTTACTGTGTGTCTGTGTGTGTGTGTGTGTGTGTGTGTGTGTGTGTGTGTGTGTGTGCATGCGCCTCACATTGACTTTTAGGGTAAAATCCAAATCCCTTAGCCTGGCACCCAAAGTTTCCTCTTCAATTGTTGCCTTCTGCAGATCTCTCCAGCTTAGTCCATACTCCTGTGGAACCTCCCCCATGGTCCCACTCCATTTCATATCCACCTGTTCCTTCTCTCTCTGAACATATCATATATATATGGTCCACTTTGCTTTTTTCCAGTGATGTTAGTTTGTCTTGCTGACTCTCAGTTCTAGCAGCAGAAGTAATTTGCTCCCATGGTTAGATACAATGATGACTTCTTCGATTTCAACTAATGCTGCTGTTACTATTAGAGCTATACTAACACCAGTTAACCTATATTGAGTGCTTATTTTCTGCCAAGAATTATGCTAAGCACTTAGCTCACATAACCATTATAACCCTATGAGTTACAGGTAAAGAAACTTAGGCATAGCAGTAGACATTTGCCCAAGGTCACAGGACAGGGCCTGGATCCACACTATATTTGTCTGACTCCACAGCCTACATACAGAGCATTGGTGATGGTGTTGGGTTGGTGTAACTTGGCACTAAGTCCCTAAGAGTCAGATTGTTTCAGTTACTAAGATTGGTTCTAGGAGAGTCAGCAAGACAAACTGATCAACAGCTTGATCAGTTCTTGGCAAAGCTTGTTCCATTGTTGGACAGCTTCAGTTCACAGAAGTGACTTCATTAAACTGAGATGATGCTAGTATCTGTTTCTTATACTCCCTGATCTGATCCTGATGTCTGGGGCACCTGTAGAAAACCAAATCCCTCTTCAGAATTTCTCTTTGGTGATTGACCCAGCTTTTCCTCTTTCCATGTGGACAGTTATGCCTGACTGAAAATTTTTTTTAATTTTTAGATCTTTATTTATTTTTACATGGTACTGAGGATCAAACCCAGTGTCTCATATGTATGAGGCAAGTGCTTTACCACTGAGCCACAACTCCAGCCCATTATTGAAATTTTACTGCACTTGCTAAGCCTCAATTTTTTCTCACTATAGTCCAGTGTATGGGGTGTTAGTACTCACTCCTAACAATGAGGAAACTGAAGTTCAAGATTATAAGTAAATGGAAGAGTTGAGATCAAAATCTAGGTCTGTAAAGCTTGAAAACCAATATTCTTGGGCTGGGGATGTGGCTCAAGCGGTAGCGTGCTCGCCTGGCATGCGTGCGGCCCGGGTTTGATCCTCAGCACCACATACAAACAAAGATGTTATGTCCATCGAAAACTAAATATTAAAATTCTCTCTCTCTTAAAAAATACATATAGCATATTTAAAAAAAGAAAACCAATATTGTTAATTATTGTGTTGTGATGCCCCCCTATTAAAGTCCCCATTAGATCCTATCTTCTCCATTTCATATCCCAAATTCCTTCAAACTATCACCCCATAGACCATGTATATCATGGGGTGATAGTTTATGCCTTCACTTTATCCAGGTATCTTTCTGGTAAAATAATAACCCTCTTAACTTTGAGACCTAGAATGGACATAAGTCCCAGGTTTGGCCTGCCCATGGCATTTGAATAGTACTCTTGTTCTAGCCATACCACTCATGGGACAAGAGAAAACCAGGATTAGCAGGATGACTTGATCTTGGTAACCCATGCTGGCTCTAAATGGTTACTTCTTATTTCTACCATATGGGCAATAGATTCCACTTTGCTATTTTAAAACAAATTTTACTTGTTCTTTTTAATTATACATGACAGTAGGATATATTTTCAAATGTCATATATACATGGTCCATTTAATTTTGTCCAGTGATTATTCATTAGCAAAGAGCAGACCAGATGTGATTGGTACCTGTAAGCCTAGCTGCCTATAGAATCAGATCTCCCCTAACTTTAGCCAAGAGTTTGAAGTGTGGAGCAAGGACAATCAGGGTGAGTCAAGGCATCCCTAAAAACCATTGAAGAAAGAGGACCAGATGGAAGTACTATCAGGGATTCTAGAACTGGAGAAAATGAGGTAATAGCCTAGCAGATCCTCTCTCCCATGTAACTACATACATGTTCACTCCAATGACAAAGAACACTCAAAGCCATGATTTTGGCCAGTGTGAACAATTTTTAGTTTAGCCCACAATATTGATTCTTCTCATAAGAGGTGCGGTGGAATATTTGACCCAAGGATCTTGAGCCCATTTTCTAGCCAGAAGAATGGGTATTTAACACAGAACTTGCAGTTGTTCATGGCATAGGTAAGCCCTCTCTTAGAAAGAAGATTCTGCTTCTAGTCTTTTGTCCCAAATCAGTTCCACCTGCTGGTTTGGCATGCATATAGGGCACTGTCCCCAGCTGAGGTGATTTCCAGCCCCCAAATCTTGATGAACTTACCCCAGGCAGGGTCTTTTGCTCGTGCAGTGCACTCTGGGCCTTGAGAGCAGAGTCCCGGGCGCAGTAGGTGAGGAAGGCACAGCCTGAGGAGGAAGAGGCTGGCTCAGGTTGTTTCCTAAAACCCCCAAATACTCTTGTTGGAAACACCCCATTAATTCAACAAACTTAAGGCCATTCTCCTTTTAACAAGAACACTACTTCTGAGTAGACTTTTCTATCTTCCACTTTCTTTGAAAGGAGGGTCCTCATATGCCTGAGGACTGATATCTCTGACTCCTTATCATTTGCTCCTGCCCTCCTGCCCAGGGAACATATGTACCCACACGCTGTCACATGCTCATACAATCCCACAGCTCCCCTCCCCACTCCAGCTGTAAGTCTGTTGGGGTTAAACCTCCATAAGCAGCTTTGCCTTCATCTTTAACTCAGACTCCCCCTTTTTTTTTGATACAGGCTCACCGAGTCTCCTAGAATCAGCCTCAATTTCTTCCCAACTCAGTTTCAGATGAGAGGAGGCAGAAAAGGAAGAGCAGGGTTGAGGCTAAGCCTAGGACCTCCCTCTACTAAACTTGAAGCTGGGGAATGGGTTAATTTGAGGCTTGGAAGATGTTTCTAGTTTAAGGGCTTTATGTAAGTGGGAGCTTTCAGGGACCCTCTAATCCTATCCAAGAGCTTGATCTTTCAACTCTCCCAGGGCTTCAAGATAGGGCCTCTCAAAGGGTTACTGTACACCAAATCTGACTCCTCTAAAAGGGTCAAGAGATATGGGGAAGGGAAAGTCTGGAATGAGGCAGAGGAACAAGCCTACACCTCTTTCTTTTTTTTTTTTCAATAGTCTATTAAGAAGCACTGATGCAGACAGCTTTTCCTTTTAAACATTCATGAGCACTCATTCATTCAGAAAATACTGACGGAGGGGGGGAGCCTGGGGTTGTGGCTCAGCAGTAGAATGCTCGCCTAGCATATGCGAGACTCTGGGTTCGATCCTCATAAAAATAAATAAATGAATAAATAAAATAAAGGTATTGTGTTCAACTACAACTAAAAAATAAATACTAAAAAATTTTAAAAAGAAAATACTGAATACTTACTCATTATGGTAGAGTATTTTGATGGATTAGGGGAGAGAGAGGCAACACGATAGATACATTCCCTTCTTTCATGTGGATTAGACAACAAATAATGAGGGACAACTGAGCCCAAAGGGTTAGAGAATGTCTCAAAGAAGACACTGAGTCCTCAAGAACAAGAACATTGAGTTCTTGAACCAAGCGCAAGTGATAAGAGGCTGGTGATTATTTCAGGCAGAGGAAAGCATATATGAAGTATCAGCCAAGCATTTAGAGTGTTGGGGAAATGGACAAGAGGCTAATATGGTTAGGGGCTGGTGAATGGGGATATGGCTAGTGAGATATGCAAGAATCAGGTCATATATAGCTTTACAGGCCTCAATCAGATTTTGAACTTTTTCTGAGAGCAATGGAGAACCACTAAAGGGTCTTAGTGATATGATAAGATCTGTGTGTGTGTTGTGTGTGTGTTTAAAAAAAGCCTTTTGAGTATAGGAAGGAGAGGGGCTGAAGGAAGAGAAAGTGGATGTGGGAAGCCATTAGGAGCTTAATGTAGTTTCCCATTTAGTCCTCAGTAGACTAGAAAAGTCAATGGGAACATTTTCTTCTGTGGAGCTCTCTCCTTAAGATGGGTGAGTTATCTGCCATTCAAAGTATCTCCAGAGAACTCCTGGCCAGGCTCTTATAGCATCAGTGGGGAAACTGAAACCCAGAGAATGTGTCAGTAGGAGGGCAGCATTTGGAATTTCCTTTCTTCTTCTTCCTTTTTTCCCCTCCTCTCTCTCTCTCTCTCTCTCTCTCTCTCTCTCTCTCTCTGTATTGGGAACTAAACTAGACCTCACACATACCAGGCAAGCACTGTACCACTGAGCTACATCACCAAACCAGCATTTGGAATTTTCTAACTCTCATACTGGGGTTGTTTTCAAGACACTATGGCTGCCTCCATCGGTACCCAGCCATCAAGAGGAAAATGAGTCACTTTAGCTTTCAGACGTCACTGTCACTGTGGAGAAGGTACAGAAAATGTTGACTTGGAGACCCTCCATGATCACCTTGCAAGGCAACACTTGCCTTGGAAAGATGCAGGTTTGTTGGAAATAAATTGACAAACACCCGATTCCTCTTACATCACTATTCCATCTTCTGCCACAAAACCAATATCATCTGATGTCAGAATCAGAATGTGGGGAGGGGAAAGCTGTCTGAAAGGTTCGGGGGCTCAGCTGCCACTTAAAGGAGCCTATGGACTACCTGGAATAGAAGGAAGAAGAATGGAAGGGTAGTAATCCAGAGAAGTATAGCTTGAGGGACAGATGAATGTGTGTGTGTGTGGGGGGGGAGACAAGAAAGAATTAAAGCTAAATGGGGCAAGAGAGAATGAGGAAACAGTTCAGAGACTTTAATAATGTTTGAGAGAGAAGAATGAGAATTAAAGATATTCTATACACTTCCTTTATTATAAAGATAGCCTACAAAGATTAGCTTTGTACTTACATGCTGAAATCAATATCCAGAAAAATAAGAAAATAAGTTAATATAAGTAGAAAGACAGTCAGACAGACAATTAAGCTACATCATAAGGAGTCTGGATGGTGTGACATTGTCCTTTTATGGACTCTTTAACATAACCCCAACCCAAAGGGTGGAAGCTGTACCCCCACCCAGATGACAGTCCTGGCCTTCTGTAGGCATTTTCCTGAAGCCCCTACATTAGTGTGCCAAGGAACTCCCAAGGTCTTTCAAGTGAAAAGAGGTGGCAATCAACCCCTAGGAATTTACTTTTGGTTGTTAACCAAGGCCCACCACTCCTCTCTTAGGAATTTCACGAAGGACAGTTGTGATCCTTCACCATCAAAACCTTGAAACCACAAACTGTTTCTCCTCAAATTCTCTCTCCTTTTCCCTGTCAATGAATGGCACATGACTCTGGCTCTGTTACTCGGGCCCAGCCTGGACAGACTTTTCTGCATGTAAACAAGCCTCCTCCCTCTCTCTACAGGAAAAAAGGGGTGTGGCCATACAGGACCATGGTGCTTCTGTCTTTTTAGCAAGGGCAAGGAGAAGATTTCCCCTTCTTCCTCTTCAGCCTCACCCACCTTAAGAGTGCTCTGATCTGGGACTAACCTGTGAGAGAAGGGAAGCAGTAGGCCATCAAGAGGATTGGGAAGGAGAAAAGAAGAGTAAAGAAAGGGAGGTTAAAGGAAGGTAGAAGTGTGGATTCACCTAAGGGGAAACCTAAGATAAAGGGGACACAGGGTGGTAGCATTCCCAGCTGAGGTCAGGGTTGTGGACTCAAATCGGAAAAGATAGAGTGTTGGGATTCTGACAAAGGTTAGGAGAGATTGAGATTATTGTCAAATATTGAGAGAAGGTGGCATTTGGAACTGAGAGCCTCCTGGGAAATAAATTGGATTTTGTGAGTTAGACAAGCCTGGGTCCTGAAGAAGGGAAGAGTTTGGGTTCAAAGGGAAGAAGGGAAGAGTTTGACAATCTAAGAGTCAAATGAAGGCTCTGGGGGTTGGTTGGAGTTGGAGGCCAGAGGAGGGATGCAAGCCTAAGATATGTGAGTGGTTAGGCCTGAGTGATGTGGCACCCAGTGGAGGGGTAAGGAATGCTTGGGCTCAGGTTTCATAAGATCGTGTGTAATTCAAGAGCTAGACGATGGAATAAGTTTCCAAATTCTAGGATTTGGGATATCTGATGGGAGCACTGGTGAAGAGGCTCAACTGAAAGGCAGGGACTATTGGGATATGATAGGCAAAGGGTAGGAATTTGGAGGTAAATGTGAAGAACATGTTAGCGGACCAGAGTGATGATCAGGGGGAGGATGCCCCAGGGAAAATTCTTGGTTGGGGTTTCTGTGATCTAGGGAGGGGACAGGGCTTAGGTGGGGCAGGTAATGGAGTGGTGTTGTACTGGCTCTAGGTAGGGTTAGGGTTGGGGCTGAGGTTGGGACTGGGGTTGGGCTGGATTGCACTCTAATTGGATTGGGTCTGGGCTGGTCAGGGCTGGACTGGGTTGGGCTGGGCTGGGCTGGGCTGGGCTGAGCTGAGCTGACCCCGCGCACCTTTGTGGAGGCCGGTGAGCCGGTCCTTCAGCACCGTCAGCTCGTAGATGCGGCCGAACTCCTCGAACAGCGGCTTGAGGTCCTGCTCGTCCAAGCCCCGCGGGATCTGCCCCACGAAGAGCTTGATGGCGTCGTGGTCCTTCATGGGCACCGCGGGACCTGGGTTTAGCCCGCTCATGCCGACGCCGCTGTCCGCGGTGCTGAAACCAAGGCGCGGGCCGGGGCCGGCGGCCGGCGC